TGGACCAATCACAGAGCAAAGTAAAGCAAAACCAGTGTGATCCCGGATGACGTTCGACACTTAATTGAAACTTGCTGTATTTGACTGCGTTGTTTTCACAGCTCACCAGACTCGGCCGTGCAGCCTCCCGAGTCACCCTCTATGCTGGCCAAGACAGCTAAGAAAGTCCCAGCCGTGTGGAAAGGGTTTGTGATGATGCAGAGTATAGCTAAGTTCGGTACGAGTGCTTATCGTGTGTCCGGACCATGTGACGATCTGCTGCAGTTGTTGCCCGATACACTGCATGTTCAGGGTCGCATTGCGCATGAGCAGGTTTGGGACTATCTACAACAACTGAAGAGCTCTACATCAAGGGTAAGAACTATTTGCGTACATTTCTTTAAAACTTCTCAATTTTGAGTTTTTGAAATACTAGTAGCAGATTTCTTCCCAGTTTGTTTTTTTACTCTTGGGCAAGAGTTGTCATGTCAGAGAGGCTTACTGCCCCCGCTCTACACAGGCGAAAAATAGGAACCACTTAACCGTCTAGAATGTTGAGTGGTGAGAATAACTTTTATGAGATAATATTGTCACAACATTATATCGAGAGTTAGTAGTGATACTCGCTAGCGCTCCATGCCTCTAAAACCAGGATAAGTTGAGGCAGTGTGAACCAAAAGGCTTTTTTGCAGACTCTTTCTACCATTTATAAGTAATGGTTTCCGTCTTTTCCCAGGAGGTGTGTGTGATCAGGTACGAGGCTTCCTCTGATGACGAGAAGTTGAGCTACGTGTCGCTGTATTCGTACTTTTACAGTAGAAAGCGATGTGGAGTAGTCAGTAACTGTTACACGGGAGTCAAAGATATGTATCTGGTACCTCTAGCCTCACATCAACGCATACCGCCGGAACTACTACCGTTTGATGGACCTGGTAAGACTGCATCTGAACTTGATATATGAATTTAGGCTCGACAATCGACCACTGTTCGGGAAATAAGGCTACCATCTGTACCCGGGCGGGGAGAAACGCGAAGCAAACTCAAGAGAGCGGCGAAAATTAAGCCTGCGTTGAATTAGCTTTCCAAAACACTCGATAATTGGCAAAGAAAACTTCCCTAAACCCTTAACTCCCTAGATCGTATTTGAAACTCTTACCCCAAAGCTGTTGCAGTTTTGCATCTTTTCCATCTGAACTATTCTAGAGAACTTGGTGTTACATCAGGATAACACCCTCTAGATTATAGCTTTGACCTCTCGACTGCTGTTTGGAAAGCAAGTTGACCACCCCTCCCCGAAAAGGGAGTAGCGAATAGCAAATTCGAGAGAGCTTCGAGAATGGAAACATAAAACGCTTCACTCCCTAGATCTTTTCCGAAACGTTTCTCCCTAGCGTCTACACTTTTACCTTTGAACCATTCGACCGAATTTGGTGGTATATCAGGATGTCACTTTCAAGCTTGCAGCCTTGTCTACTCGTACGACCCTTTTGTTAGATTTCATGTGGATATTGCGTGAAGCAGTTACATGGCAATTGTTCTTTGGTTGACTGTTATACAGACTCCTTACCAAAAAAGTTTGAGACCATACGCTTGACATTCTCTTCACTTCCAGGTTATACTGTTTTTATAGCAAGGGCAACTGAAATAAATTGAATTGATGTTGGATTTATTCTTTCCTTCAGGGTTGAATGATCCCCGTCCTCACATGCTCCTCGGAGTTATTGTCCGATCTAAGGTGATGTTCAAACGCCCGCGTGCACTTAGTCAGCGCTCACTGTCCCCTCCTCCAAAGCGTCGAACCAGTTCAGCGAGTGTGGAGAACAGCAGCAGTGATGGAGGTGCTGTGGAAAGTCCTGCCAGGAAACGAGACGTGCTTAGTGAACTTCATGACTCGCCTCCAGCGGACATCGAAGACATTGTGTTCCAGTATAACACCACTCAAGCTAAGATCAGCAGTAAGGAAACCAAGGATTTGTCCGCCAAAGCTTCTCCTGTATCTGAGACATCCACACCTTCAGTTGCTTCCTCCTCTGGAGCGGCGAGCTCTCCTGTTTCTACGAGTAATTCATCTGTTCCTTCCCTTGAGGCACAGAAACAGCAGTTACTGGATCTACAAGAGCGCGCACGGCAGTATATCTTGGCACAGACACAGCGAAAAGAAGTTGCAGTTGTTGACCATTCAACTTCGGCTAATAGCGAGGATAAACCGAAGATTCAATTTCCTGTTGCAAATGATCCAGAAAATGAGAAGACTGAAACAGTAGACGACGATGCACCGTATGATCCCGAAGAAGATTTAGTTCTTGACCTTAATTCCACTGAGCTCAACCCAGCCAAACCTGCAGTATCTGTACCATCAGAGGAGCCAACCAAACCCTCCAGTCTGCAAATGTTGGTCTCCACTCTTCAGAGAATTCAAGGTGCTGCCAGTAAAAGTTTAAGTCCCCACTTGACAGCACTAACTTCAATCCTACCCTTAGGGGCTACCACCGGATCAAAAGGAGAAGGCAATCACGGAAACGAAACCACTGCCGTAGCCACAGCAGGTACCGTTAACCCGTCGCTCATCTCAGCTGGGTCGAGAAGTCCGTCCGCTGCATCAGGTAGCAGCATACTACAGCCCATTGTGCCTCTCAACAGTGAAAATACGAGAAATCCTTCGGCCCCAGCGGGGTACAGGCCACAGCTTTCTGGGCTAATTGACCAAACAACCACGCCTACTGGAGCAAATGGGCCACAAGCTTCAGATATGGCTGACCGTCAACCAATGTCTACCGGTGGAGGATTACAGCAGCCCCCAAGTATGAGCGATCGACAATCCTCAATTATAGCCGATCAACGTTCAGCGGCTGTCATATCAAATGGGCGTATTCCAGAGCGTGATGGCTCTACCACTGACGGTTCACATTCTCCTTTTTCCAGTTCTCATGGCCATCAGTTTCCTGAACCCTCTGTCCTGAATTTCCAGCCTGCATCGTCTGCTCAGAGACATCAGCCGCCTGCTCAGGGCCATGGTTCACACATAACTGAACCTCCACACATTAATCGTCACGTGAACGACGTCACGCAGCAGTACAGCGGTCTTCGACCAGAAGAGCGTGCGCGGCTGGCGGCGCGCGAATCCCGCTTAGAATCGCGGGAGAATAGGCGATTATCAAGCGAACACAGAGGTGAATCTCAGGAACAAAGACGATTGAGCGAAAGAGAGAGGGATAGTTGGTACAATAACCCGCGCTACTCACGGGATTCCAGGTCTTCCGGTTCATTTGATTCGCGTAACCCTCGGGATTCGCGAAACGACTGGCGGAATCAGCACAGGTCCGGACGGCATTGGCACGAGGATGAACATCGGCGAGACAGACACGCCCAACCGATAGACGAACGACCGAGATACCAAGAACGTAGAGACGAAAGACGGTTCCGGGAGAATTGGGGTCGGGAGAGATGGAGGCGGTGATCGTACGAAATTGTTAGAAACAGTTGTACCCAAAGTTCGTTAAAGTTCAATTGCACTTAAATGAATTTGTATCGTGAATATTCCGAGAGCTCTCTGCTGGGATGCCGTTTGAAGTTTTTTCAATATGGCTCAGACGCGTTGTGTTAATTAGAGACTTTTAGTTCCGGTGGGTTATAACTTCTGTACAAAGCAGGTAGATGTTTTTAAAGATATATGATGCTGTGGAGTTTTATCAAAGCGGTTGCTGTGTTGTTTCTCTAACATCTAATAAAATGTGTTCGTCATTCTTTTAAGTATCTTGGTCTCCCATTAGGACAACAGTCTTCTGCTATGTACTAAGCAATTTCGTTCTGTTTGGAAACTGTTTGGGAAACATGACAACTTAAAGAGATCCACAGTTTATTTCCAGTCCCCGATAAACGTTAGGATCACTGTCGATTTTTTCTTTCCATCCAGACCGTGCAGACTGTACAATTTTTTTGTTAGCTTTTTGAAAACTGTGATTTACGTATGATTTAAATGTACACACTTTTTCCTTACTTTTTTGGTGAAGTTGGACTGACATTTTACGCGGTTATTCCGATCTCTCGTTACCAAGCAAAACAAAATCGCAGGCTCAAGTTTTTCGAGCAAAAGGAACTTGGCCAAAAGGAGATTGACAGCCTAAAGAACTTTACAGTAACGAAAGCGCCGCAAGCTACAATCGAACTCTACTGGAAAATAAGGTTTTTTTAATTGGAGTAGAAGACTGATTGATAGCTAGCAGGGAACTTTGGCTATGTCAGTTGTGTCTAACCTAATCTCCGTTTCTATCGCAATGCATGCACAGTATGTGTGAAATGAAAATTATTGGGACAATTTCCAAATGACCAGCAGATGGGACTCAATGTTTCATCAATACTTTTTTATTTTACCAGAAATCGAAAATATAGCACAAAAAGTGTAACTGTTGGTTTGCATTTCTCGTTGTTTAAAGCTTGCCAGCCTCTCGCGAACTCTTCAATTTTTTCCGGGGAAGCGGGTTGTTTTAGAACCGAGTCTGCATTTTACCACTGGTCAGCTGTCTTCAGTCTGCATTTTACCCCCGGTGTGCAGTCTACAGTGTGCGTTTTACGCTGACCGGTCTCAAATATACTTAATGCCGGGCAGTCGGAAATTTTTCCAGAATTTTTACCGAAGGGTTCTCTCAAACTTGTTGAGAATAAATGTCGCGTTGCCCCGTGCAACCGTCGCAACCGCTTTTCAAACTCTTTGCCTCATTATTATTATTTTGTCAGTATTCCTAAAACCTCTTCAACTGGTTTTGGCTTTCCATACAAATAAATAAAAAATATTTAATTTTGTGTAAGATAAGTCGGAGGATGTTTTGAAACTGTTTTGAATTAAAAATAGTTACGTGACCGATGAAAAGATCTCGTCTGTGATTGGTTGCAAGACAATCAACCGTTCAGGCATATCTTAGGGGTTCACGGTTTTGTAAGTTTGACTGTGAATTAGATTAATTAGTTAATGAGGAAAGTGAGGTTCATTGCTTCAGTTTGGTTCAGAGGTAAGTTCTGAGAACTTATAACTCTAAAAAGCTCCGTACTGGCTGTTACATTTGAAAATCCTATCAGAGTTTCATGAACAGTATCAAGTAAGCCTAGAAATCTCGAGGTTTATTGATCGTTTGTGAATGATTGCAAGACAATTAACATTTTAGGTATGTCTTAGGTGTTCACGCTTTTGTAAGTTTGTCAAGTAGTTATTAAGGATACACATAGAAAGTTCGAGAAAGTAGTGTGGTTAACTGCTTCAGTTTGATTCAGAGGTAAGTTCTGAGAACCTATAACTCTTAAAAGCACCGTACTGGCTGTTACATCTAAAAATCCTATCAGAGCATGAACAGTGTCAAGTAGGCCTAGAAATAATATTGGAAAAACCTTTATTTACTTCAAACGTTTCGCTCATGAAGAAATCTCGAGGGTCACGGATCGGCTAACACCGCAGCCTAAGTTGTCATTTTCTTCAAATCACGGATCGTTATATTCTATCAGTAGTTTTGGCAATTGAAGAAATAAACCTCGCAGGTATGATGCAATTTTAAGCACTTGCAGAAAAGAAGCGTGGTAAAAATTCAAACTTCGATGGGATTTGAGCTCTTGCCTCCCAGACTCTATTGGGTGTCACTAACAGCTGAGCTACAAACTCGCACGTCGGGAGCAGGAGAAGTTTACGTCATTAGTATTAGGATTTGGATTTTTTTTTCAGTCGTTTGCAGTTTTCAATGCCGCCCATACCATATGTGAAAATGCGTGCACCACAAGCAACTTGTCTAACTGCTTTATGCAAATTTAAGTCGCAAACTTGAAGCCTTATGGTAGCGCTTCTGTGAGCATGTTCATTTATAATCGTTTATCTCGGGAGGATACGATCCCCAATTCATTTTCTTGACAAGTTGAGAATTTCTTAGGGATGATGCAGGAAAACTCGTTGTCATTTTTAATCCTAGAACTTTATCATCCAGAGCTGGATGACAAGTGTATTGAGAATGTTTTGAATGTATACTTTATGCAGATTTACGAGGTGAACTCAGAGCGGAATTGCCGCGAATTTTGGGTGTCGTGGAGATTTTTTTTCAGGTATAAAGTTCAGAAAAGTTCTTTTCACAGCAGGAGAAAATTCGCAGCGAAAATTAGTGAGATTCACCAATGTTATTTACTGCGTGTAAAAACTATCAATGAAGGTATTTACTTAAGGATAGTGAAGTGAAACTAATTACAGATACAGCACATGCACATACTTTATTTTACCAATTAACCCGCCCACGATGGAGATGACTTTAAACATTCCTTTGCAGAGGTTTACGTGACGTTTAACACGATGTTGAAGTTGGCTTTGGTTTTCATGGTGATCTCCTGTGTTCTAATAGCAGAGGCTCGTAGATTACCCAGGCTGCGCCTTCAGGAGACTGAACGTTACCAAAGGCAATTCTTAAAGGTTGGTTTACTGATAGAGGGAGACTAAAATTCTACCAAGGCGATGAGAAACTGGAATGGGTGGTTATAGATAGACTTCCAACACAAAGGGATTAGGACGAGAGGCAAATTTGCGAGAAAGGGTGTGACGTTAGTCGCCAATAAAGCTTCTGCTTTCCGCCCTTGTAGCACTAAGGGATTGGTTATTATTTATCACCTGACCGGGGTGGGGATAGAGTTCTAATGATCTCCCCTCATTAGAAGTCAATTTCCTTTATTCTCCCTCTTAAACACTGTAAAAACATAGCCCTTTAGTGACAAGAAAAGCCCACTTCATTGATAAATGAAAATAAGAGTCGACAATCGTAAAGTGCCTTGGCGCTAAGGCTCAAGATGGAAAAATGCGTTGAATCACGACTACAAAGACAACAATGGGCGTAATTTTCAATTTACAAAATTCGTCTTTACTGACTTTGTCCTTACCGACAGAAGAAATCTTTCAGGTAAATAGCCAATATCGGCCTGTTGCAAATCGTCCAGTTGTCGATTTTCGCTGTCAGCCGCCACAATCCGAGAAAGTTACGACAAACTACCTTGTATTGAGAACCGTAAGCGCTTTGCCGTTCATTCATCAACCTGACCGAAAGGCGCGAAAGGCGAGTGACGTGTCAGCAGCTGATTTGCGATATTAAAACACGTAAAAAAATCTCGTATTTTTTCTCGACGTGTGTTGTTACGGCTTTTCTCAGGGCTGAAAATCCTTGTACAACACCGTAGTCGATGTAATAAATACGGGTTTCTCTCTTAACAAGAAAAAAGAGAAATTAAGTGTGCAATACCTAGCTAATATATAACATGGTGACGTCTGACAAAAGTATCAGTAACGTCCAATAACTTATGGCATTGATTTTCTAATCCACATTGTTTGGTTCCTCTTTTTATCAAAAACGACGCATTGGTTTTATTGATTTGCATGCATTGTTCAAAAGGTTGATTTGTAGCTACATTTAGACAAATATGTCGTGGAAAGATAATTTTGAAGAACTCACGGTCTTAATTTTCTTAAATGTCATCCCGGCTTTTTAAAGAATCTATTAAGTCTTAAGCATGAAATATTGACCTCATCTAACAAGCCAGAAGGATTTAATCTGAAAGAAATATTTAGTTGTTTTTGTTACATCAATAAATTTTCAGAACTATCTGCATCGTCGCTCGTGTGTTGCAGTTGGAGGAACGGGCTGTGAGGCCAATAACAGCAAGTGCTGTCGAAAAGGAAACCCGTTCACTGGAACCATGCGAAGTTGTGTCAATACAGGCAGCTTTTCAACGCCGTAAGTAAAAGACTCAAACATTTTGCTAATAATGATTTATCCACTTGCATCATGATCAGTGATGAAACTCCTTATTTCCTCGACCAATGATGGTTGACTTTTTGTATCCGAGACATGAATGTATCGCTTATGTTCGTGTGAAATACCCTGAATACCCGGCAGGGGAAAGTTTTAATTCTTTACGCAACCAACCTTGAAATAAAACGGTGGTGAATAGTAGGTCCCAATAATCAGCGCGCGTGAAAAGCATTATTCATTTGTGTGGTATATACCAATAATAATTATGAACATTATAGTGGTAGTAATAACTATTATAATACAGAACTAACTAAACACAGCCCTCCCGCCAGATTCTCCCACCAGCTGCGTGGTCTTGTTCATTCGCTAAAACTCTAATTTCGTTTTGATTTTTTTCATATCCCAGGGAGTATACATGTGTGGAGGCATAAGGAAACACTCGGCGTCAGATTCAAGAAAACCCAGAGATTTTTCTCTTAACAAGTTTTGATTTGAGTCTTGTCAAATGCACATAGGGTGGCTTCTATAAACTAACCAAATAGACATACACTTGCACGCACGTACACGTACCCACCCATGCGCGTTTCTTAGATCACAGCTAACTTACGAGTGCAAATTTAATAATAAACTTCTGTTTGTTTCACTCTCTCAGTTTCACTCATCTTTCTTTATTTTGATTTAAAAAATCACTACAACGTGAGGGTGTTCCTTGAATTTTTATAAATGGAAGACATGGTGTCCCACTCCGCGCGCTGGACTCCGGAGTCGAGGGGCCTAGGATCGAGTTCTGATTGAGGTGAACACGGACAGGGACCTGGGACGAATTAATTGTACAGCCAAGCAAGGAAAAACAAGAGAACCCCGACCCCAAGACTTCTATAACTATTGTGGTTAAGTTGTTTGGCACATAGGGTATCACCAAAACAAATAACGTGCGGACAAGCAAGTTTGACCAACCCAGAAATCGAAATATAGCACAAAAAGTGTTACAGTTGGTTTACATTTATCGCCGTTTAGAGCTTGAAATATGACGGAATAATTCGGTTCGGTTAAAATGTCGACGTCGGCTACGATAAATTCCCACTAGATGGAAAATAAATAACAAATTTGAAGCGCACTCCTCTTTAGTTCCTCCTTAGTTCATAAGTGTATTATTTAGTCAAGAAACGAGGCAAAACGCTATTCCTAGATTAAGGTTGTCTACAGCATTTAAAGTTTGCGTTTGATACACATCAGTGACTCTCCCACATTTGCAGAATGTTTCGCCGCAAAGTGATCGAAGGTTTTTTCTTTTAATTTCGTGCCGCAATGAAAGCGTTTCGTTTTGTTTTATATTTAAGAAGCGAAAGGAGTGCTTTAATCTGACTTAGACTCGCGTTTGTACTAGTAGAATCACAGTTCTGAAGAAACGAGTAAAACAAGACACGCAAACGCATCACGCCGTACCAAAAATGTATCGGCATTAAAAAAGCGGTCTGCGTAAAACGCAGACTGCAGACCGTGGATAAAGTGCAGACTGAGGGTAAAATGAAAACTGAAGACTGGAGACCAGGGGCAAAATGCAGACTCGGTTCTGGTCTGCAGTCTACATTGTACCCTCAGTCTGTATTTTACCCCCTGGTCTGCAGTCTGCATTGTACCCTCAGTCTGTATTTTACCCTCTGGTCTGCAGTCTACATTGTACCCTCAGTCTGTATTTTACCCCCTGGTCTGCAGTCTACATTGTACCCTCAGTCTGCATTTTACTCCCGGTTTGCAGTGTACATTGTACCCTCAGTCTGTATTTTACCCCCTGGTCTGCAGTCCACATTGTACCCTCAGTCTGTATTTTACACCATGGTCTGCAGTCTACATTGTACCCTCAGTCTGTATTTTACCCCCCGGTCTGCAGTCTACATTGTACCCTCAGCCTGTATTTTACCCCCTGGTCTGCAGTCTGCATTGTACCCTCAGTCTGTATTTTACACCCTGGTCTGCAGTCTACATTGTACCCTCAGTCTGTATTTTACCCCCTGGTCTGCAGTCTACATTGTACCCTCAGTCTGTATTTTACCCAATGGTCTGCAGTCTACATTGTATCCTCAGTCTGTATTTTACCCTCTGGTCTGCAGTCTACATTGTACCCTCAGTCTGTATTTTACCCCCTGGTCTGCAGTCCACATTGTACCCTCAGTCTGTATTTCACCCCCTGGTCTGCAATCTGCATTCTACCCTCAGTCTGCATTTTACCCCCGGTTTGCAATCTGTGTTTCACACACTGACCGCTTTTGCATAGACTAAATGCCGGGCAGTCACAAATTTTCATAGAAATTCCACCGCGAGGTTTTTTCAAACTCCTGGAAAATAAATGTCGCGTCGTCCTGTGCAAGCGTCGCAACCGCTTTTCATGATTAAATTCTTTGCTTCTTATTTTTGTCAGTATTCCTAAAATCCCTCCAATTGGTTTTCGCTCTCCTCACAAAGGAATAGAAAATATTTAAATTTGTCCATGATAAGACAGGGTATTTTGAAGCTGTTTTGATTCAAAAATGGTTATGTGACCGATGAAACCAGTAGATCGGTGTCGGTGCTCTCAGTGTCTTAAGATCTCGTTGGTGATTGACTGCGAGACAATCAACCGTTCAGGCATATCTTAGGTGTTCACGGTTTTGTACGTTTGTAGGGGGTGGTTTGTTAATCAGTCATTAAGGTAACGCATTTTACGTCCGAGAAAGTTAGTGAGGTTGATTGCTTCAGTTTGGTTCAGAGATAAGTTCTAAAAAACTCTTAAAAGCACTGCACTGGCTGTTACATTTGAAAATCCTATCAGAGTTTCATGAAAAGAAGGCCTAGAAAGAACATTGGAAAAACATTCATTTACTTCAAACATTTCGCTTCTAAAGAAATCTTGAGGGTCACGAATCGGCCAACACAGCTGCCTAAGTTGTCATTTTCTTCAAATAACTGGTCGTAATATTCTAGCTGCAGTTTCGGCAATTTAAGAAATGAACCTCGCAAGTGTGATGCAGTATTAAGCAATTGCAGAAAAGAAGGCTGGAACTTCGACGGGATTTTAATTCGTGCCTCCCAGACTCAATTGGGTGTCACAAACAACTAAGCTACAAACTCACACGTTGGGAGCAAGCGTAATTTACTTCATTAGTATGATGATTTGTAGTTTTATTTTTCAGTGGTTTGCAATTTTCAATGCCGCCCAGACCATGAGTGAAAATGCGTGCACCACAGGCAACTTGTCGATTAAGTGCTTTATGTAAATTTAAGTCGCGAACTTGAAGTCTCATGGTAATGATGATATGAGCATGTTCATTTATAATCGTTTTATCTCGGGAGAATACGATACGTTATTCATTTTCAAAATCTCATTGTCATTTTTAATCCTAGAAGTTAATTATCGACTATGAAGTAGATTTAAGGAAGTGAACGCAGAGCGGAATTGCCACGAAATTTGGGTGTCTATCAGATCTTTTTTCATGTATAACATTCAGAAACGTTCTTTTTACAGCAAGAGGAAATTCGCAGCGAAAAGTAGTGAGATTTCACCATTATTATTTATTGCGCGTAAAAACTATCAATGAGGCTATTTACAAAAGGGTGGTGAAGCGAAAGTAATTACAGATACAGCACATGCATATACTTGATTTTACCAATTAACCAGCCCACGAAGGGGATGACTTTAAACATTACATACATACATACATACATATACTTTATTGATGCTCCCTAAGTGGGCTTTTCAGCTCAATAGAAAAAAAAATACAAATATATAAATTATTGAGAATGTAAATACAATAATATTATAATTACAAAATATATATCAATAATATAATATATCAACTTAATAAAACGTTTGCAAGATGACGTCTAAAATTCCTGGGGCATTTTAAAGACTTAATGTTATCGTTCAAGGAGTTCCAGAGTTTGGCTCCTCTGAAAGCAAAGGACCGCTGCCCTGTTGACAGGCGACATAAAGGTATATCCAAAGCACCAGATGATCGAGTTTGTCTATTATGGACTTGAGAACGTGATTTAAACATATCAGCAAGATAGTCTGGAACAAGCTTGTTAATACATTTGTGCATCATAGTAGCGTCATTTAGAATGAGTTTCTCTCTAATAGGAAGCCATTTCAACGATCGCAACCCATCCGAAATATGGTCATACTTTCTTAGTCCCAGAATAATTCGCCCGGCAAAGTTTTGGACTTTTTGTAACTTGTCAATATTGCTGCTGCTGGTATTACTCCAGACAGTTGAACAATATTGGAGTTTACTAAAGACAAAAGAATTTATTACTAACAGAAGTGTTTTCCTATCCAGGAGGTGTTTGATTCTGTTAATTTGGTACAATTTAAAAAGGCATTTAGAGGCAATCTCAGTGATATGTTGGTTATAACTGAGGTGTGTGTCGAGAAGAACACCCAAGTCCTTAACGACAGGCACAGGTGTTATTTCCTTGTCAAAAAGTGTTATACTGAATGATGACAGTTTCTTTAAAAGTTGTGGTAATCCAACAGCTAGAACCTTAGTTTTGTCCGGATTAATCAAAAGAGAGTTTTTACAGCACCATTGAGATATTCTCGTAAGATCTTCGTTTAAGGCGAGGATGGACGTGGGTAATTCGGCAGGTGAAAAGGACAAGTACAATTTACAGTCATCAACATAGGAGGCAGATAGACAACGTTTAGGAACAGAAAGGAGGTCGTTAACATAGATTGTAAACAAAACCGGACCTAAAATAGAGCCTTGCGGAACTCCGAACTCAAGTGGGAGTACTTTAGAAACTGCGTCACCTATTCGAACGCACTGTTGTCGGTTAGAAAGGTAACTCTGAAACCAATTCAACGCACCCTGGGAAAAATCGAGATTTTGTAGCTTGGATAACAAGATGTCGTGTCGAATACTATCAAATGCTTTAGACATGTCTAATAAGACCATGATGGAAACTTTCTTGTTATCCATAGCCTGGAGCAACTGATCTGTAACGTACAACAGAGCTGTTTCTGTCGAGTGAAGCTTTCTATTTCCGCTCTGATGTGCTGCCAGTTTATTATTTCTAATTAGATGCTCCATAAGTTGTCCATGTACCAACCTTTCAGTGACTTTTGAGACTATTGGTAATAATGAGATGGGGCGATAGTTGTTAGGGACATCTGGATTACCGCATTTGAGAATAGGTGTAACCTCTGCTGTTTTCCATGCACGTGCAAATGTGTTGGTAACAAAGGAGTTATTCACAATGTGGGTAATTGTTGTTAGCGTACTGGGTAAACTGTCTTTAAGAATTCTGGAGGATATCTTGTCCATTCCAGGAGCTTTGTTAGATGGTAGGCTTCTAATCACCCTTTCTACCTGATTTTCCGTGACTTGATGGAGAACGAATAATTCGGGGCTAACGTCGGTGGATATGTGTAAAGGAGTCGGCACGTCCAAATTTACACTAAGTCCATGATGTAAAGATAAGTCCCTGGCTTTTTGAGCAGTAATACTGCCGACGGAGGTGAAGAAATCATTTAATTCGTTAGCTAACCTAGTGGGATCCTCAGAAGCCATAAAACTATCTTGTTGTTTACGTGGTAGACACCGGTTAATGATTTTCCAAATTGAATTAGGGTTTCCATTGCTATCCAGGATCTGAGTCCTGACG